GCTGTCCAGAAGTCCAAGTGAAAGATGGCAGTGATCTGATCAAAGCCACAGACGGTGACCAAGGAGAAAGGGGGGATTGTAGAGGGGGACTCGGAAGCTGGGGTCCTGCCGAGAACCCACGCTCTGTCCCTGTGGAAAGCTGAGACAGGCTGGAGCAGCAGGGTGTGGCCTTGGGAAGCTCTCTTGTCCTACAGAATCTTCCCTAAGGGGATCCCAGTCAGACCAAACCTGCCTGCCTGTCACCACCTCTCCACCTCCCCTTGGTCCCCAAGTCAAACTGGCATCCCGATTTCTCAGCCCCTCCCTGGATAGTATGTGGCTGACATCTCAATTCAGACCTCAGCAGAAAACCCGATCTGCCCTGTGGCCAATCTCCCTGCGGTCTGTCAGTTCTTCACATTTTCCTCTGAGCTGTTTAGAGTGGTCGGATGCTGGGAAGCTGAATACGTTCAGTAAATACGGGGATGAGCAAACAAAGATGCAGGGGCATCGGGGGAAGGGGAACTAGGTTGCCAGTACCTGTGTGTATATATAACTGGAACCAGTCTGTCCAAAAGGCAGAGTCAGAAGGACGCAGCAGAGCAACTTTGTTCATTCTCCCGACGCCCCTTCAGGCGTGTCCTCTGTCATTCTTCTTCTCAGGGTGAAAGCTGCATTTTCATGGGTCTTCCGGTCATAAGTGCAGTTCAGTCTAATAATCACAGAACTCTAAGCATTATGCATTTGAAACGTCACCTTCTCCTTGGGGCTCCCTTGGCTGGGAATTTGGCAGTGCAGAAGGACAAGGGGACTGCTTCTTTCTCACGGGAAAAGGACAGGGGCACCTCAGCCGACTGCACCGTCACATTTTAGAATGTATAGAAGGCTGGAGAGGGTCCTCTTTGGCAGAGCACTCGGCGAGTGCAGAGTCTCCCCAGCCTGTCTGCTCTTGACTTTTCCCCTTTGCTGCATTCCTATCAGCAAAGTTCTTTTTTTCTTTTTACTTTCGAATCAATACGAGGGTACAGATTTTTAGGTGGCGTTGTTTTCGCTTCTAAGGCAAAGTTCAAGTTGTAGTTGAGCCCTTCATCTCTAAGCGGACCTACTGTCGGCTGCTGCCTGGAGGGAAACATAGATTGTTCCAGCCTCATCCGTCGTGGGAAGCGCACTCTCAACACCCTGCTTCTCCCTCTTTGATCTGCCCCCAGGAAGGTAGGCAGACCCAGTTGGATTTGACTGTTACTTTTCTCTTGGTGAATGTCAAATCCAGCCTCTCTTCTCTGAGCCTCGAGAGAAAGACCCCTGCCAGGCCACCAGGAGTTCCCCTACAGCTCTCTCCACACTGGGGCTGAAGGGAAAATGATACACTTTCTCCCTTCCTCCCCATAGTATCCCACGGTGACAACTCCCCTGCCCAGGCACCCTACCTGCCAGCCTCTTCAAAGGCCCAGTGGGTTCATTTCCTGCTCTCACATGGTGCTGGAGGCAGGGCTCAACCTGGAAGAGCACGCTGATGGTAGAAGATGTTGCCATTGGTGTCCCCCTCCAAAGCCTGCAGGGCTGGCCACATGTGCCCACGATGACTTCCTACAGCAAGCCCCCCTCCACC